CCCCCCCCCCAGTCCCCTGGAGTCGGCACCGGACGGGAATCTTGCAGCCTGTTTTGAGACTCACGAAATTGCTGTGTGACCTCGAGCAAGTGGCTTTCCCTCTCTGGACCGACATGTTCCTGCGGCAAAGGGTGGGGACTGGGTCGGGTCTTTTCTGAGCTGAAGTTGTCTAGAGATCTAAGAGCTTGGGCGCCTTCCCCAGGGCAGAGCCCAGAAGGCCAGCGTAGCCCCCTGTGGACAGGGGGAGGCCGAGAATAGACCGGAACTGGGATCCACAGAGAAATCTTCCCCCTGCCCGCTGCCCTTTGTGCTGAGATCTGGTTTTCAGCGGGCCTCTTTCTGGCTGCCACGGATGGCCAGAGCCGTCTCCTGCCCCAGAGGGAGGCCCGACACCCCTCTGCTTCAGGCAGAGCTGCTGGCACTCAGCTGGCCATGGGGGTTCCAGTTCTGCTTTGAGGCCACGGGGCTGGAGAAAACAGCAGTTACCGCCATCAAAAGCCCGTCCCTCTCAACTGCCGTAAATCCAAATAAAGACACAGCTTTATTTACATTTGACCCGCGTCTAACAAGTGCCTAGTGGGTGCGAGCTGGCTTTGGGAAGGGATGGTAGGGAGCTTTAAAAGGCAGAGAAGGCTGGGGCGCCTGTCTGGCTCAGTCCGAACAGGATGTGCCTCTTGATCTCGGGGTTGTGAGTTCGAGCACCACGTTGGGTATGGAAATTACTAAAAAAAAATTAAAAGCTAAAAAAACAAAACGCACACACACACACACACACACACACACACACAGAAAGCTGTGGAGTTGCTGGCAGACAGGTTGGGGGACGTGTGCTCAGACCAAACCGGTGAGCACTGGAATAAAGTGTAAGAGGCCCTTGGGGCAAGGTTGCCGGGGAAGGGGGAGGCTAATGCCCTGCGAGCAGGTATCTGGCTGCTGTTAACGAATTACCGTGATGTTTGTGGCTTAAAACAATACGAGTTATCCTGGTGCGGTCCTGGAGGTCAGGAGCCCCAAATGACTCTTACGGGGCTACACCCAAGGAGCTCCCAGGGCCGGAGCCTCCAGGGGAGAGGCGGGGGGCCGCCCTCAGCTTGCGGCCGCTTCACCCGTCTCGAAAGCAGGCCTCTCTGACCCTTGTTTCCATCTCCTGCGTTATTCTTCTGCCTGGCCTCCCTCTTGTAAGGACGCTTGTGATCACATGGGGTTCACCTGGATGATCCGGCATAATCTTCCCATCTCAAGGTTCTCGACATCATCGCCTTGCCGTGTGCTGAATAATGGCCCCCAAAGATGACACCCGCGTCCTAATCCCTGGAACCTTATATGGCAAAAGGGACTTTGCAGATGTGGTCCAGTGAAGCTTGACGCGGCCCTTCACTAGCTGTAGAATGTGACAGAGGGTCCTTGTCCATTGGGAGGATTCCCTGAGGCCGTGCAGCAGTGAGCAGGGCCATGAATGTCCTGCCCATCCTCTGAGGCCCGCTCAAATGCTGCCTCCTCCATGAAGCCTCCCTTGGTTATTCCAGCCAGGAGCTCTCCCACCTCTGAAGGCTGAGCTCTTTGGGCTTCCCAGCTCAGGACCCACTGAACCTGCAATGGTTATATGTGGGTCACTTTCCCCTCTGCCAGAAGGTATTCTCTGGGCTCCAGCCCTCAGCACCAAGCCCACGCCTGGCCCAGAGCAAGGGGACACTTCGGAATGAGTCTCCTCCAGGTACCGGGTGGGACCCAGGGTTCCCACACATCGAGTCTAACCCGCACAACCCTCTGCGAAGGAGGTGTCATTACCCTACACAGCAGGCAAGTGCAGAGCTGGGATTACAATCTGATTCAGGGGCAAGATGGCAACGTCCTCCAAGTCTCTGTTGACCCTTCCTCCCAATGATGCCGGCAGAGGCTTCCCCCAGACCTCCCATCTGCTTGAACCTGTGGGATCCTGAGGCCTCCTGGAGGATGGCAATCCCCCCTCCTAGGCTCTGGGTCTGGACAGGCAGGACCCCTCCACACTTCATTCCAGAGGCGTTTTCTGTTTACTGTAGCCAGAAGTGCCCTGGCAGGTGTATGAAGCAGAGGTAAGGGGTTGAGATTTGCATGGGAGGGTCGTCTGGCCTCCCCATCAGGCTCCCAGTTTGTGGGGTTTCCCAACAAAGTCTTGGAGACCACCTGCTTCCTCCTCTCCCCCGGTCCATGGACACAGAGGGACCCACAGAGGCAGATGGGCATGCCCAAAGCCACACATGGGGGCCAGGCCTGGAATGGATCCGTGTCAGGGGCCAGGGAGGGTGCTGGGGACACACACACACACACACACACACACACACACACACGGATGGGGAGCTGCTTTGCATGTTCTTTGTTTGCTAAACAAAGCCACACCAATATTAGGAATTTGGCCACTTCTGCAGCAGGGCGGGGTGAGAAAGAGAAGCCGGGGGGCTCGATGACAGACAGACACACACGTTTCTTTATCCGCGGGGGTTCCAGAGCTCCCTTCCACTGAGCTCCCCGTGGTGTGGGGGCGGGACAGTGGAGGCCGGAACCCCGTTTGCACGTTGCTGAGAAAGGGGGCCAGTGCGGGCAGGTGAAACTTGCTTCCTGTCCCAGGGGAGAGAGATTCAGCCCCGTGTGGAGGGGCCTGGGGGTTGTTGGGGGGTTGGGGGCTGCTCCGCAGATGCGCTGAGCCTAAGAGCCATGCCGCTGCCCCTTCCAAAGTCCGCACCCTCGCACAAGCCCAGGGCTGTCGCAGGCAGGGCCGCGTTCCCCGGAGAAGGCTCAGGAACCAGCACTTTGCCCGCCGTGAGCTCCCCAGTCCTGTCTCCTTCGGGACCCGGGCTGCGCTCCTCGCACTGGGCTGGGGGCCGCTCAGCCGGCGCAGGGGGGCACCCGCCTCACCGCCTGTGCCTGCAGGGGAGCTCCCCCACCCCGGGCCCATCCTCCACCTGCCATCCTCTTCTGCCGCCTACCCGCTCGGAAATTTCCACGCCTGAGTCACAGCGTGTGAACTGGAGGACACTGTCCAGCCCTGTGAAGACCGCCCACGGCTTCCCTTTGCCACCTACGGGGACAGGAGCCCCGAGAGGGGAGGCCACGGCCCAAGTCTATTAGCCGCGATGGCGCACAAAATCCAGCCTAGTGGCCCCCGGGGCCGTGGGATTGATTACACAACCCTAGGGGGGCTCTGTTTACGTAGGATACTGTGCACATCGTGGCCTCTGAAGTTATTTGGTGACCGCTGCCCTGGCCCCACTGCTGAAAGGCGGGTGGGCATGGCCGGGGGCACGGGACACTTCAGGACGCCCTCAGCAACTCCACACACAGCGCCGATCTACTCGACAGTAAGTAACAAACTAGCGTTAGCATAGTTTACTTTTTTACTTTTTAAATTTTTTAAATGGTTATTTATTTTTCAGAGACAGACAGAGCACAGGTGGGGGAGGAACAGAGAGAGAGGGAGACACAGACTCCGAAGCAGGCTCCAGGCTCCGAGCCGTCAGCACAGAGCCCGACGCGGGGCTCGAACCCACGAACCGCGAGATCGCCACCCGAGCCGAAGGCGGACGCTTAACCGACGGAGCCCCCCAGGCGCCCCAACGATCTTAAAATATTTTAATATTGAAACAAACCAGCCACGTTAGGGAACAGAATGCAACACCAGGATTAATTTTTGGATAAAATGTCGTGTTAGCGATGGTAACTTCAGGCCACATCTAGGCCCCTACGCTGGGCAGTTCCCGTGGACGTGGCCACATCTCACACGGCAGCCAGGCCCTGCCAGCCCTGGGACCAGGGCCCCAGAAGGACAAACCGGGAGATGCCCAACGGAGCCCTCCATGGAAATTACTGATAAGGATGTAAATGTGTCTCCCGGGGTCAGCCCAGAATTCTTGTGTGGCTGACTTGGCCCCAACCTGTCCCAGCTGGTCCCCACCTGCCCCCACCCAGGGTGAAGTGCACTGGCCTGGAAGGAACAGATGGGCCGAGGTGAGGAGGCAGGGTGCTGGGGCAGTGGAGAAAGTGGAAGGATCTAGAAGAATAGGACCTATTCCGAACATTCCCAAGAAACCAAAGGGACTTCCCTCCAGCCCCTCAAGAATCAACCCCCAGCCCCTCACCATCATGACCTAGCCTTTGCTGCCCTAGATGGGCTCCCACTCAGGGTGGGCACATACTACCTTAGAGGGAAGGGGCAGGACCAATAAAGGGAAAGGAGTGGGCAGAGAATTGAGGAGACAGGATCAGAGAAAGAAGATCTGGGCTGGCCAGAATCATATGAAGGCAGCTGGTCACCAGCAGTAGGACAGAGCCTGGTGTGGGCTAGGGACAGTGTAAGGGACCCAAGACCCACAAGAATCTTCTAAAGGCACGGGAGACCTTGACTGCTCAGGAGACCAGGGCAGGAGCTCAAGACAGCTCAGCTGAGCTTTAGAAAGAGGATTCGGTGGGGGGCACCTGGGTGGCTCAGTCGGTTAAGCATCCCGGGACTGCCTGTGTCAATGACCAGGCTCTGTGGGTCTGGTGCCTCCCCACGGCCAAGGCTCCTGCAAGGCTGACAGCTCGAGAGCCCGGAGCCCGGCTCATCTCCCCAAAAGCTTCTTCTTTCTCTGCCCCTTCCACCAGCTTCTTTGCACTCTTTCTTTTCTCTTCTCTCTCCTTCAAAATCAATAAACATTAAAAATTAAAAAAATTGCACCTCATGTGTGGGTGTCTGGTGTGGCCTGGGGAGCTCATCAGGTGCCGACCAGGCTACTTGGGGAGTGAGATGGCTCCCCGAGAAGGAGGGAAGGACACACGGAAGAATAGCCAGGTCATTCCAAGCCTGGAATTCTAGATGGCAGCAGCATTTCCCCAAAAAGGCCTTATGTTTTAGAGAATTTTTGATGCCTGGCCACTTGTTTTTGTGTCTGGAAGGCCACTCTCTGTTTGGAACACTCCCACTTCTCTCTCCTCCTCCTGGAGGGTCTCTTTCTTTCAGCTGAAAACCTCCTGTCTCACTGTCTGTCTGTCTTCTCATCCTGAACCTTTTACAGGCAAAGAGAAATGGTTAGTTAAGTGCTAAATGCAAAGCCAGCAGCGCCCAACTCTTGGTTTGGTTCACAGAGCTTTGCTCGAATTGCCAGGCTCAAAGACAGCCATAGAGCTCGTTTGGGATTTCTCTCCTTTCTTTCTGCCCCATTTCTCTCTCAAAATAAATAAATAAGCTTTAAAAAATGAAAAAAAAAATTAGTTGTGGACGGTCACACAGATTAGCTCTCAGAGCATCTTCTGAAGCCCACTGGTGATAGAAAAGAAAAACAAGGTGAGGTTTCCTTAGTCGGATTAGTCGCAGTGTCCTAATCTCCGACAAGAGGAGATGGGCTAAGTCAGCAGTGGGGCATCCAGACAATGGACGTCGTACGGCCATTAGAAGGAGCCCCCGCGTGCCCCGCGAGGCCTGACCAGAAGGGTCCTTGGGGCTGCGGCGGAATGGAAAGCCCATTCTAGCATAGCCTGCCGGTTCCGTGAAAACAGCACAGCGTGCACCTGCAGATCCTCAAAGACACGGAGCTGAAGAAAATCCGCCCCACCACTGGTGACAGCTCTTTCTGGGGGCTGGGAAGGACGGCTGGACCGCCCGCCCTCTTGGCGCTGCCTCTAAAAGCAAGGAGACTTGGACTGGTTGTGCGTGTGGACTTTTCCAGCTGAAAAAACTTGAGGAGGAGATCGATTTTGCGGAATAGAGGTGTCGACACAGAAAGCCGGTCATGATCCCTGAAGTGAGAGAGCGGTTTAAAAATCAGTATGCGCCCTCCGATTCCATTTTGTCCCTCACACGCACGGAAGGAAGCTGGGGAGGATAGGGGACGGCGTTATCGACAGCCGCTCTTGCTGAGAAAAGGGAGCTGTGGGTATTTTCTCCCTGTATTTTTCGGCGTGTGTGTTTCATTTCTCGGCAGTGGGCGCGCATGATAACATTATCGCTGCCGTTAAGAAAGGCGCTTCCATCGCTCAAACATCGCTTCCCTGCTTTGAGGTTTGCCTTGTTGCACCTCTGCCCCCGACCCTGCTGCCCACCCTGCAGGCTCCCCGTCGCCGGACAGGTCCTTTTCTCCTTTACCAGTGTGGGAGGGCTGGCCCCCGGCTCCGCAGCCCAGGGAGCCCCCTCCCAGCAGGCACTGGGTCCAGTCCTTTGCGTCCCGGCCCCCCACAAGGTCTCGAGTTGAGGCTCCCCTGTGGCAGGCGGGGTGGGACCCCTAAGGGGAGGCCCCTGGCTTGGGGGTGGTGGGGCGGACCCTGGACACGCAGCGCTTCCTCTTGGCCTTGGCGATGGGCCGGACCCTCCCACGCGCCTCCCTGGTGTCCAGCTCTGAATGGGCCCCAGCCGGGAGCCAGGCGGGCCCCGGGGGTTCTGATGCTGGGGACCAGCTGCAGGAAAGCAGGAGGGAAATCTGAGGCAGGGGCATGTGCCGAGCGGCCGGGGCTCAGGTTTAGCCTGATAAGTTTATCACGCGGTGCCGGCTGCCAACCGTCGGCTCGGAGCAGGCCAGCGGGCCTGGGCAGGAGCGCGCTCCCAGCCGATAGCGCCTTCCAAGTGTTATCAAAGGCCCGGTGGCCCAGGGAGCGGGAGAAGCGGAGCAGGACGGAGGGAGAAAGAGACTTGCAACCATTTCACCCCCACGACAAGAGCCAGGGAGGGAGAGGGCCCCCGAGGTGCCTTGGGGGGGGGGGCCTCGACATCCCAGCTACACCAGCAAACACAGTTAGGAATTAGCCTCGTGCAGGCTGGACAACCCCACTTCTCCCTCGTCACGGATGCTGCCGGCAGCCCTTCTGCAAGGCCTCAAGAAAAAGTCTCCTTTTCTGGAAGGTTCTTCACCCCCGAACACGTGAGGGAACCGGGGGTGGTATTTCTCCACCATTCTTTTTTTTTAAATTTTTTTTTTCAACGTTTATTTATTTTTGGGACAGAGAGAGACAGAGCATGAACGGGGGAGGGGCAGAGAGAGAGGGAGACACAGAATCGGAAACAGGCTCCAGGCTCTGAGCCATCAGCCCAGAGCCTGACGCGGGGCTCGAACTCACGGACGGCGAGATCGTGACCTGGCCGAAGTTGGACGCTTAACCGACTGCACCACCCGGGCGCCCCTCTCCACCATTCTTGAGAGTGAGAGTCAGACTCAGTCTAGCCCCCCGAACGCCCAGCCTGGGGACCGGTCACCCCCCTGGAACCACCACTCAGGACTCAAATGCCTCATCCTCCCTGCCTCTCGCGAATGAGGAAACGGGGTCTCAGTGAGTGCAGACGAGGGGCAGGGGGACCAGGACTGGGGGACGGGAGGGACGAGAGGCTGAGGCCTGGTGACCGCCCCCCCCCCTCCCCGCCATGTTGGGAGGGAAGAAACGCTCGTGGCCACTAAGGGGAAGTCGCTCCCCAGCTGGTGCTGCTCCGGGCCACGGCATAGGGGCGCAGACAGACTGACTTCGGCTGTGAAAGCACCTGTCGGGGACCAGGGACACCCCGAGGTCCACAGGGCTATAACTGGGGGGCAGGCGTGGCATCACAGTAGATTTAAAAATTCCCTTTTCTAGGCTTTTTCTTTCTGCGTTTTCCGTGAAAGAAAAGAGCGGACAGCTGTGCTCCCAAGAGCCCACATGACAGCCCAGGCCCGTGACCTTCCAGAGGCACATGCCACAGGCCAGGCACCATCTAGGCCAGCGGGGAAGCTGACACAAGGCCCACCCTCAGTGGGGACGCGGAGGAGAAACAGAACAGGGAGGCGGGGACATGGGGGTCGCCAGTTCCCCGGGTGGCCAGGGTGGGCCTCATTGACAGGGCTAATTGTTCCCTTCCTCAAGAGGGAAGTGGGGAAGGAGAGAGCCCCAGACGGAGTCAGGAGGCTGGGGCATCAGTCTGGCCCCTGCTTGGCCAGGTAACTTTCAGGCACTGCCCTCTGGGCCTCTGTTTCTCTTGTCTGTAACAACGGCACCTGTGGTCTTTAGAACTCTCTAGATCCTGTCTGCAGGCTCCAGGGTCCCAGATGTCACGTCATCAACTCTTGAATGCCGGGATAGAGAGCTGGGTGTGGTACCCGGGGGCTTGGGGGGGCCTGCGGTGTGCACGGGCGCAGGGCGAGCATCCGCACGCGAGGCGCAGCTTCAGACGGAGGAGGCCTGGGAAGTGGTTCCTGACACGTTCCTGCGACTTAGGCCTCTGCCGCGAGTGTCTCACACTTACTGAACTCAGAAGTGCAAGCACTTTACAGGAACGAACCCTTCGAGGGAGGCGTCATCATTCCTGAGTTCCTGGGGAGGAAACAGAGGCGAGGCCGGAGAGGCGAAGCGACGTGCAGGCACCCCGGCCATTACCGGGGCCAGCCCTCAGGGACCCCTCTCAGCCCTGAGCCGCCGCTGTGCACAAATACAGTTGTCGTCCTTGCTGAAGGCTCTGACTTTGGAGCCCAGGCTTCCAGGCTGGCACCCGGGGCCCGGCGTCCTCCCTGCCGTCGCGTGGCAGGCTGACCTGGGCTCGCGGGGGCGCCCCTGCGGACAGCTGGAGCCACAGACACCAGAGCGAAGCTCGGAGCTATTTCTGCAAAGGGTGACTTGGGACTTCCTCCCAGATCTCTTAAAAATAAAGGGGTTATCGTGGCCCTCAGGCTCCTTCCTCCACACGAGTGAACCCTGACATGATTTCTGGGGAAGGCCTGAGCCCCCGGGCCTCCCTCGGCCCAGCGAGGACTTATCTCTGAGCTCAGTTGGGCAGCAGGAAGGGAGGGAGGCGACCACCGCGGGCAGCTCTTCCTGCCCCAGAAGCCCCTTTTGGGAGCAGCGGGGGATGTGGCCACTGACTCAGGGGCGTCAATCACCCCTCTGCCCCGGCCTGCGGTTGCCCACCAGACTCTGAGGGGAATCAGAAATCAGGGAGCAGAGAGCATTCTGGGGAAGTTCCAGCACATCCAGCCTGGCCTCTGCTCCAGACCCTCCCACTGCATCCAGCAGGACCCCTGTCTCTGTCTATGGCCCAGCATCAATGCTGGTGGCACATCTGTCTCCACTAGAGTGCCAGCCCCTGTGGGCACCTGAAGATCGGCCCCTCCCTGCAGGAAGAGTGAGGGGCAAGGTGGAGGGACCAGGTAGGCCCAGGTAGGCCCAGGCCCAGGCTACCCTGCCACCGGGTAGGCTGTGCGGCAGAGAGAGGGGCCAGGGGCCTGCCCACACCCTCGGGGGATCTTCTCCCCACTGCAGGTCTCAGACTTTCAGTCCCCATAGAGGGCAACTCTCAGGGTCCTGAGGAGCGAACCCCAAGACTCCGTTCCACAAGCATTTGTAGGGTGTCCACTCCGGGCTGGGCCCTGGTGGGGCAAGAGACAAGGCATCTAGGGGACGGTCAGAGGCTGAGGGGCCACCAAGCCCAGCCCTGGGGCCAGAGAAGTCTTCTTGGAGGAAGCAGACATGTGAGAGACAAAAGGAATTTGATCTGTCAAAAGTGAAAAGAGCTGCCCCAAGCCAAGGAAACAGTAGTACAAAGGCCCTAGGGAGACAAAGGCCTCAGGTTGGCCCCTAGCGACACTCTCAACCTGCTGGGGGCCTGGGGGCCACCCAGTGCCCCCCTTGGGCCGCCAGAGGCCAATGCGTAAAGCCAGGGTGACTTAGAGGGTCCCGGGAGCCGTCCTGTGGGGGCTCAGCGCCCAGCCACATTCGCCCTGCCTCACCGTTGGCACTCGTGGTCCCTGACATCCAGTCCCCAGTGGCTCACAGAGTGCCCCCCCGCGGCCCAGTACCCCTCTGGACTACTTTGGGAGGGAGATTCAGGCTTCCAGAGCTGAGTGTCCCCAAGGCACTCTGCAGAAGCCAACAATCTTAGCTGGAAACCGTCAGGGTTCGGGGTTTCCTCCTGGCCGGCTCCCCAGCGCCCCTCAGCTCAGCCTCAGACTTATCACTGCCCTCCAGCTGTCTCGCCCCCAAGCCCCCTCCAACCACCTCCCCCAGATGATTCAGCAAATCTTCCCTCTCTGGGGGGAAAACAAGGTGAAAAAAATCACAATGTCAGATTACAAAGCCCCAACCGTAGGGCAGGCCCCTGGCAGGGAGATAAGGGTCCCCCCCCCCCCCCCCC